AGAAATATCAATTCTCTTTTGCTGATATGATTGTTACTGCTGAAGAGGGTGGATGCATGTTCTGGTGCTCCTTCCTTAGGTGACCCTAGTAATACAATGTATCTTCCTGGTGGCATTGCTTGTGGTTTCTCTGACACCCCCAAATCAAACTCGTCAGGCACAAGACACAATACCTTTCTGCAGGATCTGCATGTAGGGCTGTGGGATTTCATCCTCGGGGTGGAGGTAGAGCAGGTGAAGGCATCTTGACTTTCTCCATGGGCAGGAATGTGTAGAGATTTCAGGAAAATGGGCTTTGGAGGCTACTCATGGGCACCTTTATGGTGATTAGCAAGTCAAAGGCTGTCAGCTCATGGGCTCTGAGGACCACAAGGGGGTCCTTAGCTTGCCTTTGGAACCAACCTGCCTTACCTAAGTGGAGTTGTGAAACACCAGGTGGAGATAACACAAAGAGCCCCCTGACCCATCCTTGACAAAGGCTCAGCATAGGCAAACAGGGGGGATAGATGCCCCCAAGGGGACCTTCCTACATTTGTGCATGCAGATCCTGGGTGGGCTATGTTCCCATGTTCAATGCAAACCAAAGAGACCCTAGCTGACCCAGATTTTGAAGTCTGTGTGGCTATTCCCCCATTTCTCCTCCACTGCCAAGTAACAATTTTCATGATTTGTGAATTCTGGCATGGAGTGAATAATATAATGCACATTTGGTAAACAGAGTACTTGCAGCTTCAGTTAATTTCTTATCTAATTAGCAAATAGACAACTTATAGCTTCTTTGTACTGCACTGCTGCCACATTGATCAACAGTTGGGCAGAAAATGAGAGAACTCTCTCCCTCTCTCTCACGCACGCACAGAGAGAGAGGGAGAGCGCGTGCGTGCAGTGGGGAGAACAAATCAATAACTAAAACTGGTTCCATGACAGGTTTTTGAGAACTGAATGGGCACTGACGGGCAGGCTTTAGCCCCTATTCTGTAATGCCAGCAGGACTCATAAGAACCACCCCTTACTGCCTCTGCATACCCCTTTTGGGATGACAGCTGGAGGGAGCATGCTGATACTCCCCAAGAGTCCATTTTAGCCCTAGGATAGCTTGCTCCTGATCCCTAATCTTTACTGAAGACATACAGAGTCATACTGGCAGAAAAATGCTCCCTAAATTCATGACTGTTCTTGGAAGCTGAGGGTCAGATAAGCACTGTCCATTCCAGGCTCCCTTCAGACATCAGATCTTTGGTAATTAGCCCAGAGTTGTCCATTCTGCTGGGCACCAGCATAGTTTCACAATCTCGCTCGAGAGAGGTCTTCCCAGCATGGCTCCTTGAGCACTGCTCCTTTTAACTGGGAGATACTAAGGACTCATCCTGAGGCCTTTTGCATGGAAAACTAGTACAAAAGTGTGTTACATATGGAGCTCTAGCTCCGCTGAAAATGATACATGCAAATGGCACTCTTCCCCTCACCTGGCACCTCCGTAATTCCTTCTATTCCCAGTAGCCATGCTGGCTGGCAATGTTGGGAATGGCTGTTTAACACATCTGCAGGGCATCAGGTTGGGGAAGGGTGAATTATACTTGGATTGATTTTTATCATTCAGCTTCAGGTCACGAACGGTCAAAAGCAAACCAATAAAAGGCCTTCTCTTTTAAGTGTTGTGTTTTAAGTAATAGTGGGATTCTAGACTTTTCCCAGGGAGATCCAAGAACCAATACAGATAAGAGAGAACTTTTCATAACTTTCCAGCTTTATATATATTCCACAGATTCTCACTCTATCGTGAAATTGATCTTTGTGCTTCTCCAAAGCCTTATTTTCTTCAGTGCCTGCTTTTTAGACCACTCTATTAGCTTTCTTATATCTCATAGAGCTCTGCTCTTTTTATCCATAGGGCAGTGCAGCAATTGCTAATATGTCTGATACTAGTCACTGCCCTCTTTTGATATAGGTTGTAAAGCACAGCACGCACACACACACGCACACACACAACGAGCTTTTATCTAAGAAACTCTAGACTTGAAATCAGTTTTAGATCTGCTTCTAACCACTAATACAGTGCAGTCAGTTGAACAGGGCTTTTGATCAGTTTATGACAGAAGCTTTTGTTCATCTTTATTTCTTTCCCACCCTTACCCAATGGCTCAGGGCAAGTTCTGTGAGACAGCTAGGCTGAAAGACTTGAGTTGACAAGTGCCCTTCAGTAAAGCTTATAGCTAAACAAGGTCTCAAACTAGGGCTTCTATTCTTTTCCAGACTGGGGCCCACAGAGGGTCCTGGTGAAACTCAGCAGAACACCAGGCTAGTTCTCAAGGGAACAATATCATAGTTAGCTTACAGTCGACTAAGGGACAAGTTGGGAAGGATGCAAAGCATCCAAATGCAGCAAGCTCACAATATTGCTGCAGCAAAGAATTTATATAGCTGTGCTCTGTTTGATGTGTTGAGCTCCACCTACTCTGTTGGAGATTCTATGTCTTATTCCTCAGCAGCAGCTGTACAAGAACTAGGGCATTTCAGTAAACGTGGTTGTTAGGGGAGATGTATCCTCCTACACTTCCAAGAGTTCTAATGGGCAGACTTGGGATCAGAGGAATGCAGCAGGGCTACATCCTACAGCATTAAGGGTGCAGGGATCACCGACATTTGGGGATTCCTGCCCAACATGTCCATAGTGAGGCAGTGACTTTGGGAGTTCTTTCTGGGAGAGTGATGCCAGTGGGGATTGGTGGCACCAGCATCAGTGGGGTAGTACATTCACACTTGTGCACTCTGTGGGAGCTCTCCATGGTGCTGAACCTGATTGCCCTTAAACGTGCAAACTCCACCCAAAGTACACACACTGCCCCACTAATATTGGCACTGACAGCTGCCCTAGCTCCTAGTCTTAATCTTTTCTATTCTTTCTGTCATAAGATCCCTTTCCTAACAGTAAACCCTACAAAACACACCACCATTTAAGAAATCTGGATCATCAGTAGTTCTTTGAAGTCAGCTCCATGATGCAGCTGTATTATGCAGTTAAATAATAATGTCAGGTCACAACATTACCTTTGTATTCCTAATCAACTCAGAAAGTATGAAATCCATACTTATGTGCAGTCAAGATCAATATGATAGGGACAGCTTGGCATTTGAGATGGGACCTCAATTCTTTCCCTCATGTGTATTCTAAATGTGCATTTGAAAAAGATCTTTGAGGCAACTCAGATCTGGAAGTCTACAAAATTCAGTAAAAAACAAACTCAATGAATACCGGATAGGTAGGACAGTCAGTATATCCCATGTTTCATCACAAGGTAAATTAAAATGAAAACTCATCAATCTAAGAGTGAAACTAAACAAGCCTCTAATCCCACATTGAAGTCTCGTTGCATAGGGAAGTCTAGTTTTCTGCAATTGGTTTTGAGTGTGCTTTGTAGCTTATCAGGCATCACTACCACATATTGTGGTGATGACTACCAACTTAGTGACTTGAACAGGGGAGTAAATGAATTCATAGAGAAGGCTATCAATAGCTACCAACCACTGATGGTTATATACTTCCTCTAGGATCAGAATAGCAGGGTTTTTCATAGTCCTTCAGAGGACAACCAATACAAGCCTTCTGCAAACAACTGAAAATCCAGATGATTAAATTCTGTGGGAGGAGGTCATTAAATTCATTAGCCATTCATTAAGTTTGGTCTTCACTGATTTTTATGGGCTCTATTTGTTGTTTGGCAGAGAATTCCATTAATGAGAGATTTTCTTGTATGTGCTATGTCACTTTATAATACTTGTTTATTTTTTGTAGTTGTTTGGATCAAAGAAAACTATATACCAAGTCCTGGCAGATTACAAAATGTGAGCTGTTCAAATTATGCAGCTTACTTAAATAAATTAGTTACACTGGTCTCAGCCATTTTTCATTTTTGAGGGTTACAGTTCTAAAACCATGACTTTTGGAAGGGTATTTTTTGATTCAGTTCTATCTCTTGTAAAAATCCATTCTAAAGCCAATCAGGCTACTCACTGAACTGATAGAGATCCAGATGGAGAAAACACAAGGTTGGAGAAATTCCATAAAAGGAATTCTGGCTTTGATAAACAATTATTTTACAAACTTTTAGACTTCAGACTATTTGAGAAAGTAGAATAGCATTTAAGCACTTCCCTTCATCAACCCAAGGAACTTAGTAATCACTGCATGAAGTAGGACCCCTGTATCCATGGAAGACAGGTTCCAAGCCCCCCAGCAGATGCCTGAAAACATGGATAGCAGCAAAAACTATACAGTTGAATTTCCATGTTCACAGATGTTAGGGGAGCAGGACCCCTGTGAAGTGAAAAAACTGTGAGCATGTCTACCCTCCTCCTGAACTTTAACTCTTAATTCTGGTTCCTCACCAGCTCCCATGATGGTTTCATCCACTAAATAATTGCTTGCTCCTCTATTTTCGGCACATACATGGTTCACTCCTTGCCTTAGCATGCTCAGAAAGCACCCTATATCTTGCCCTACCACTACCTTAGTTCGGCCCACTACTTGCCTCCTATTATATTCACAATAGTTTGGCCCTGAAATTTTTAATTTAACTTTTTTAGACTGCAGTCAATCGCAGTTATGTGAAACTGGCAATTGAAACTGCAGATATAGAGGATTTACATTATTATGGGCTCTTTCTAAGGTAAAATTGCTAGTTTGCAGCAGATGCATTTTCGAATGTATCTCAGTTGTAGGTCAAACATATTAGCATCTGCAACACCCTAACTACTTTCTAAGAAAGGTCCAATTTTGCTCAAGGCTCTGTCTTGATTACTATTACACTCATCTGAAAGATTATGAGTTAGATCCAAATTCAGTCATACTAGGAGTAGACCTGGTAAAAGCACACAAAATATACCTTTAAGACAAAGTAGTCAATTTTAAACTACTACTGGACAGGTTGATTGGATTTTCTATTTCAGAAAAGACAAGTCATTCTTTATTGTACATTAACAAGAATCAACAATGTGCTTACCTACATCTGCCCCACTAAGAGCTTTCCCCAGAGGCCAGGGACGCATGTCGATTATCTTTCCATTGATAGTGAGTGACTGAACACAGCCTTGAAAACCACGATTGATTCCTGCAGACCTCACAAGCCAGTAGGCAGTTGGGGCACCTCCAAGGTAGAAAGGAGTCCGAAATGTAATTTTGCTGTATTGACCCTAGAAGAGAAAGAAGGGAAACAAAACACATGCAGGAAATCTACTTAAAGGATCATATTTATTTATTTATTTATTTATTATATTTATAACCTGCTTTTTCTCCATGGATTTCAGTGCTATACATATGATTCCTATACAGTTTCCCATCCTGTCCTTTGATCATCAGCAGACATTTCCACTATCACAGCCCAGTACAAAACATGAAAGGGAGGTTCTGTGGAAACTCTGGATATGCTAGATGAAAAGTCCTCATACCTGGGGCAGAACCCTGAATATAACAGCCTTAGAACCCATGGGAAAAAAATAAATTAGCAAGAAAAAAGTCTTTTTAGCAATAAAAACGTCACTGCCATCCATACCATCCTTGCTGCCATCCCTCCACCATGGATTCTTCCTCCTACAACCCTACAGGTTTGCTCTGTAAGTCTTGCATTAAGTGACTTCAGCTGTAATTAGAAGTTATGCTCTCTGGATGCCTACCGCGACTTTTGCCAGGTGAGCAAAGAAAGTGGGGAGGGAGAAGATCAATTATATTTCTAACCTGCCCATAATTAATGTTCTTCAGGCAGATTGCAAAGAAGGGCTTTTTATCCCTGACTCAATCATTTATTGCCTTTTGCTATGGATTTTATAACCATTTAAGATATATAAAATTTTTAATGTAGATAGCTGTTCTGAATATATAATTTCCCTGCCAATTATATCAGCTAGGACAAATAGCAGAAGCTAGAACCAACATTTTTCACTATTTCTTGGATTGCAATTTTACGTTCCTTGACTTTGTTCATAAATGGAATTGTTTTTGATTAAGCAAACTGATGCAATCAGATCTGCAGGGCAGGGCTGAGCTGAGATGTTAACTACTCCTTCCTTACCCCAATATCAATGCTCCCATTCTCTCAGACACATTACCACCACAAGCCGTGTTAACCCTCTTGAGAACTTGACTGTTCGGAAAAAGGAGGATGCAGAGAGGTAACACAGTATCCCAGAAACATTTTCCCTTGCCTCCATAATACTTACCTGTCGTACCACTCTTGAACTTGGTAGGAGGTGGCAGCTATTGATTTTGATATTTAGGGTGGATTTGGTCCCAGTGGTAAAGCTAAAGCAACAACTTTCATTTAATTAGGTTTAACTAGTGACATTTGGGATGCCAGAGGTAAGGAGGAGGCTGACAACCCTACAAAGGACCCCAGAGACTCGTAAACCATGAGCAGTTTACATTGTTCTGTCCCCTGCACTCCAGAATAAAGATAGGCCCTCTGAGAATATGAATGTTGGCCGCTCCTGGTTATAATTTCAGCCTCCTCCAGAACAAAGGATGTATGCTGTACCTACCTCTAATTATAAGCAGAATTTCCCATTATCCTCACTGAGTTGGTTCTGTTCTTAAGTTGTCATTTGTTCTTCTGTACTTGTTACATTTTTATTGCATTTTACTGTAGTTTTTCTTTTAATCAGTTTTAATTGTGCAAGCTACCTTAAGCCCTATTTTTGGTAAAGGTACAGTGCAAATCAAATTAGTAATATTAAATAATAACAACTACTGACAGAGAACTGAATCAGGAGGATGGATTTTTAATCCATCCTTAAGGCACAATGCTATGTCTGTGAGGCATGTCTACATAGCCATAGGAAAGGTTGGAATTCAAGCTCTTGGAAATGGAAGATTGACCTCGGGGGGGGGGGGGGAGTGTTCCAGGGGTAGGGAACGTAAGAGTGAGGCTCTGCCGATATGATGTATCCTGAAGAGCCCCAAACTCTCTTCCTCATAAGCAGGGGCAAAACAGACAAAATTGGCCATCTGAGTTTTTTGTGGGGCAGAAGAAATATGGAAGTAAAATTACAGTTGTAATTTCAGGTTTCACTGTTTATAATTTTCTCCTTCCCCATACCATATTTACTGTTTGTAAACCAGGAACACTGTATGCATCTAAAGAATGAGTGACTTCCACAAACAGGCAAACTTGAGTTCCCTGAAGTTCTCCAAATTCCATCTTGAAGCTTATGTCCATCTCAGACCATTGTATTTCTTTTTAATTTCACATTAAAATTAGCATATATTTTATGCATATTTTTCCAAGTATATGCAGCAATTGTGAGTATCTTTGAAATGGACACATTCTTTTCCCATAGAATGAGGTGTGCTTGAGCTCCCTTTTCAGAAGTATGCAGTTCTTCATGCAAATTTGTCAAATATACACATGCTGTTAAATGCATTTTGGTGATCACATTGCAAGCTCAGAAATATAGAGACCTTGACTATAATTTGCACCTGAGTCTGTGTTTGGAAATTCAAACTGATCAAAGCTTCAAACTGATCAAAAATGAAGGGAAATAAAATTTTCATCCATCTCAAGCCTTTGCCATTTCGTAAGTAGAAACACCCACCTGTGATTTGCCAGACACGGGACGGTTGTTATCCAGCCTAAGCCATCCTTCCAGACCATCTCTGAACACTGTCACACTGTGCCAGTTACCCAGTTTAACTTTGTTCTCACTTGTAATTACTGCAATTCCAGTACCACAGTTGAACCTGTGACCAACACAGAACAATGTGAGAATTCTTCCACAGAATTAGCAGACTTAATTCCACCTAGCCAGTTCTTCCACACCCCTCAAGTTCATACTCTCCCTCTTTTAAAAAAGCTGTGTATGAGGTCAGACACTTGCCTATGTTTATCTTTTTGTTAAATACATCATTAGCTATTCAAAATATACTGTGTGATCTTCCATTTAGTTCACCAGCCAGGTACATACTTGTCTATCTTAACATATTGTACTGTCCAGCATTCTGAGGCCGTTCACTGAGCACCCATTTCTATCTTTCTTCTAATGTGTGTGGGGAAGGGTGGGGCTAAAAAGCAGTTCCTTTAATTTCTTTCCTTTTCACAAAGATAGAGCATTGAGCTTCTTGCACCTTCTGGCTACAGACAGACAGAGCACCAAAAGTATTTGGAAATACACAATATTAGAATCTGACTTGATACTACTACAGTAATCTGTCCTGGGAATTAACCCGAATCCCTGCTCAAAGGTAGGGCTGTATTAATACTAATGATATTCTAAATCTGAAATTCATGCTGCTGGTGAATTGACGGACTCAGAAGTCTCAGTAGCAACCAGCACAAAGATGTACAAGTGTGAGATATGCTATTCCCCCCGCCCCGACCTTGCTTCGCCTTCACTGCTTGGACTGGTACAGGATGGTTGTTTGCAGTAGCTACTGTGCACAAGGTAAGCCTTCCAGAAAGAAGCTGGCTATATGTGGTCAAGTGAGCAGCACCAGGTCTGGAGACAGCTTATAGTACAATTATAGTATCCAAAATTATTTACTAGTCTCCCCACCCACAATCATGCCAAGTGAAAATCACTTGTGGCACTATAACAGCCTGAAAGGTGGTGTGGGAAGGCAGCTTGCCCTTCAAAGTTACAAAAACCTTTCTTCCTGAATGCCTCTAGAAAATGCTTACTGGTCAGGGCCAGCCAGGTAAGTGTCCTGGGCAATATATCACCAGAAAGCTGGTTTCTGATGCATTTTGGCACTACAGTAAGGATGCTACAACTTTTGCAGTGCATGTCAGGTAGTCTTCCCTTGACTTTTCTTTTTAGTGAAAAGCAACTGGCTGTGCAGGAAGGATGGGTAGGGAAAGCACACTGAACATGCTTATCCATGTTGCCCCCATATGGAAATGTTTTTTGCACAGAGCTGCGGCGGGGATTTTGAGAAAAAGCAGCTGGCAGGAAAAGAATCAAACCACACTTCATCCACCTTCCCTCCACATACCATCAAAGCCCCAATGGCTGCTTTCCGTTGGGAAAAAGCACCTCAGGAGAAACGTCACCAGCTGAAATGGCATGTGCTGACTGGCCCATTAAGAAATTATGTTATAATATTTCTTCTGCTTGAAGGAATGTAACTTAAATAATTCTTCCTCCTCAGTGCAATGGCTATTAATATGCCAGGCAGTGTGGTACAGAAGTTAAGAGTGCAGGACTGGAATTCAGGCAACCTGGGTTCGAGTCCCCGCTCAGCCATGAAGCCCGCTGGGTGACTTTGGGCCAGTCACAGATTCTCAGCCTAACTCACAGGGTTGTTGTTGTGGGGATAAGATGGAGAGCAGGAGAAGAGTGATGTAATCTGCTTTGAGTTCTTTAAAAGAAAAGGACACTATATAATTCTTAGCAATAAATAATATCCCTCTATAGTTTTGTGAAACTGATTTCAGTGTTAATGTGAATGCACAGCTCTCTAACAGAATATACCATATCAGAAAATATAATTATGGTAGTGGTAGGAAGAAGTCACTTCTTTGGGATATTTACACATTCTTTTTAACATTTATCAAATGCAAATGAAAGCTGGAAAATATCTATCTATATCCCCATGTCAAGATTTCTTGGTATGCCAAAAATAAGCGTGGCTATGGGGGAGAGCCAGGCCTATTTGTACTGCAAATATAACTAGGTAAATATAAATTAGGTTCCCCTTAGGGAAATAATAATTTCACAAGGGGGCAGTAATCTGTCTTTTAGAGAGGCAGCATTTGCAGTGAGCGGGTCCATGTGATAGATCTGTTTCTGAACTCTAGCATTTCAGACCATTGTGGGAAAAATGTATGTTTGAATGCATCTTCAATTAAACAAAGTCTCAAAGGACACGGGACAATTTGTATTCCTGATTATAAAGCCAGAGTCATGGAGCTAGGAATCTGTATTCTGATAGCCTGCCCTACTCCTCACAGTTGGCTTGTAAAAAAAATGCACCAGCTGCCTCTCTTAGGTTGGGAAAGTAGCCACTGTGAGATGGTAAAGGGTGGATTCCTGGTGGTGCAGAGGTGAGAAGACTGCACCCACCAGGATATGATGCATCCTGACAGCACGCCAGTGCCTCCACCAGAAAGCTGAAAACATCGGTTTAACACTGGTCCCAGGGTGGGAGGTGACAGGAGAGGAAGTTCACTTCTGCTGCTCTGTTTGGACAGGATGCCCTGCGTTTGAGGGCTAACAAGTTCTAGGGAGCTATGAGGGTGCATTTATTTATTCAATTATTTTAACCTGCTCTTCACCCTATGGTACCACAGCAGTAGGCAAGTGGCAGAGCAACCAAACTGCACCATAATGAAATTAAAAACCTATAAAACAGAATTGCCATAAAAACACTTCCATGCAGTATGTCACAGAAACTAGTGATTCCATCTAACAGGCTTGTCTTATGCATATTGGCAGTGTTCTTTCTTTCCTCAATAGATCATTCAGTTACCCTATAACATCAGTTCCCTAGAATCACACTGTCCAACAACAGATGTATTATATGCGCTGCTAATTGTGTAGTAGGTTCTGGGGGAGAATGAAAAGCCACAACCATTGAACTAGCTTGTATCTGTCATACAGATGTACCCTTTAACCCTCTTCCAGCCCAAGAGATGAATTTCATTCCAGAGAAGCCCTTGAGGATTGCATCCCAGTGTTTTGCAGGGCCAAGGCCAAAGGGATAGGGCCCAAAGTACAAAGCACCAGCATATGGTAGCACAACACCAGTAACTAAGGTTTAAAAGAGGTCTTTCAATCATTAAGAATGGGGAAAGAATTGAACAAACTTTCCCCATCATTGAGGAAAAGTGGGCAGGAACAGTAGAAAGGCATGAGGCCTTATGGGTCCCCCTTGATCCTCAGGAGGGATTGCAGGCAATTCTAGAGTAGACACAAAAATAATTTGATCCCTTAGCATAATGCCATCGCAAAATTATCCTGCTCCTGTGGAAGAGCTCACTGAGGTTCATGAGTCCCTACGAGCACTCATGTATCCCAGCGGAATTCCAAATTTCTCCTCCACAAAAGGGAGAAAGAACAGCAATGAACATAAGCATGCAGCTCAAGTACTGATTTTCAAGGACTTGAATCCAGAATCCTTCCTCTGCCACCAAAAGGTTGCTGCTTGCAAAACAGAACTCATTGAGCCCTCCTGCTGTCCAATGTACTCTCCAAATCTGCTCCAGAAAAATAGAGAACCCTCTGAAAGATATTTAGGACATGTGCTGGAGAAGCAGGGGAGAGAAGAGGGCACATAAGTCACATTGCACAAGCAGTATCCTCTTGCTGGAAGAACAAAGATTATGGATCCAACCCAACACTTTTAATTACATTAAAAAAAATACATCCCTATAATTTGAACTCTCGGTGCAGTTTTTCAAACCTTGCTAGGTTATACATTATATATTCTGCAATTGTAATTATTTACAAAATGTATGTAACATTCCATATTCCAGTATGGAAATTATGGAGAGAGAAAACATATGAAAGAATACTGTGTTAATACAAGGGTAATAAAACTGTGGCAGGTTAGTTCAAGGAATCTTCCTGAAAGAAAATTGTGTTCAGGAGGCACCAAGAATAATGCAACGTTCACCCCTCCCTGACCCCAGAGGCAGCGAGTTCCACAGAAATGAAGCTGCCACATTAAGGGCTCTTCTCCGCCTGTGTTCAGCAGATGACCTCTTCTGGATGGAGTTGCACTACCCCTAAAGAAGTAGGTTTGTAACTTGGGGGTTCTCGCTGATCCATCTTTGTCAGTTGAAGCTCCAGTGCTCTCAGTGGCACAGAGTGCCTTCTACCAGCTTTGGCTGGTGGCCCAGCTATACTCATTTCTAGACAGGGATAGCCTGTCTTCAGTAAGCTACACTCTGGTAATCTTGAAATTAGATTACTGCAATGTACTTTATGTGGTGCTGCCCTTGAAGACTGCACCTTGTATGAAATAAGGCACATAGATTAATTAGCGGGACCAAAAGGTCCACACTTATAACACCAGTTCTGGCCCACTTGAATTGTCTGTTCCTATGCTTCCGCCAATTCAAGGTGCATCTGGAACTTTCCTCCAACTGCCAAATCCAAGGGAGGCCCAGAAAGAGTAACAAGAAGTAGCGCCCTCTCCCTGGTGGTCCCCAGCTATGGAACGACTTTCCCATTGTTGTTCCCCTAGCACCAATATTGTCTTATTTTTCATGTCATTTTAAGACTGCTTTCTATTCTCCAGCATTTAAATGGCATATAGTGGGATATGCTACCTGTTTCAACATTTCTAGTTTTACTGAAATTGTTTTAGATGTTTCATCTATTTTAATTTTATATTGGAATTTTACACTGTTTTAAATGTATTTGATTGCCTCTGTATTTTTATTGTTACTCTTTTAATTTTAAAGCCAAGCCCCGGGTTAAGAACATCCAAGTTACAAATATCCGTCCTTATGAACAAACTTCCATCAAGCCAATTACAGCAGGATCCCCATAAAGTGCACATAGTAGTGAACACTGCCTTCATAGGGGTTGTGGGGCAGGACCCCGGCAAAAGTGGAAATGCTGCAAACGACTCTAGAGGGAAAAAACGTGAATATCTCTAAAGTCTTCCTGCCCACTGAGGGAAAAAACACATGGGTGAGATGGGCTAGTACAGGGCCAAGAGAAAAGGTGTGGCATCCCCAAACAATGCACAGTTCCCTAGGAATATTCACAGTTTTTCCTTAGAGATATTCCAACTTACAAACTCAAAGATGTTCTCAGGAATTCAATTGTTACATAACCTGAGGCCTGCCGGTATTTCAATAAATTATTGGGAACTGCCCAGAGAACTTCAAACATTGGGCGGTATTGAAATAATAAAATCTGGGTGGACAATCAGGCTGTGGATCCATGTGGAACCACCAGGGACATTCTGTCTAATGACCTCAATGGCTCAGCAGGTTAGAAAGGAAGATGCCCTCTCATGTATCCTGACCCCAAGTCTTTAAGGGCTCTGTACACTCTTACCGAAACCTGCTTCAGCAGTGAATAGGCAACCAGTGCAGGTCTCTCAACAAAGGAGCTACATGCTGTGAAGGGGCAGATTCTCACAACACCCAAGTCACTGCATGTGATCTGGACTAGTTTCTCAATCATGAGACCTTGAAAGGATATAGTGTTAGATAATGGGTTTTTTTTTTTAAACTAGGCTAAGACGACTAAAGAGTCCTGCAGCTGTTTCCGACAATACTTACCTGAACTGAACATTTCGTCTGATGATTGCTACAGACATGAAGTCACCGCGCCCATGCTCATTTTCTCCACAGTAAAGAAGCAAACCATCCTCTGCTTCAACCTGGGCAATGCAAATGCAAGCACACAGCATGTCAGAATCTTGCTCCTCAAGATAAATGCCTCAAGCTCAGTTTCTCGTTTCTTCAACATTACGTTTGCTTCATCCCATATTCGCATTGATTTGTGCTTTGAAAAAAAGCGTCTGCATGAAAACCCATAATATCTTCATGTGCATTTCTCAAAATACAGACATTCTGCCAAACATATGCATTTTGGCTTGAGCATTTCAAGATGGAAAAAAGACAGATTTACTTCTGTTTCTATGCCCACAAATATAACACAGAAATCGCTTGAATTTTAAAAAGATGGTTTAAAGTGGCTTTTTAAACCAACATTAATGGAGCTATCCCCTACGGCCCCTAGGCCTTGTCTGGGGAATCCTAGGATACTTTGGATTCCCATCTCCAAGCATGGAAACCACCCTCATCCCAGAGCTGGGGACCCTCATTCTGACTCCTCCCTGTCTGTCTTACAGCCAGCACAAAAGGCACCACACCAGCTACCTCTCCAAAGTTGGAAAATTGACCTCCAATAAGGGACGGAGGAAGCATTCCAGGGCCCAGAGGGGGGAGAAGACTGGGGACACCAGGATATCAGATACTCTCCCAGCACCCCAGCCACCTTGCCTCCCTCTCCAAAGCTCCTCCATCTAGATAGCTGACAATGGAAACTGCATTCACCTCTCCCATCCTCCTGCTCCCTGCAGTGGATGCTTGGTAGGATTGTGCCCTAATGAAATCGCAGACTCTGATACAAGGAGAGTTCACATTACAGCTGCTAAAAAATAAAGGTTGGTGGGGGGTTTTTTGGTGCTCCTACCTCTATTTCCAGAACTCAGTGGGGGTTTCCTGAAAAAGCTGCTGCAAAGGAGACCTTTTAAATAAAGGACGTGTGCTATTACAGTACCTTGAACAATGATTATCTGCTTTATTTATTTCAGTAGCTATATCTTGCCTTTTCCTGATAAAAACCAAGGCAGACTACAATTAAGAATACAAATCGCAGCAAATTTAAAACAATCCTAAGGGATCTGCTTTCATTCATTACATTAGGATTCCCTTGTTTTGTTTTTTGTTAATTTTATATTCACACACACACACAAACCTAAAGATGCTCAAGTACATGAAGTTACCCTATTTTTTTTCCACTGTGCATCGCCCCCAGCTCACCAAATGAGCATAATGGAAGACTGAGGATTCTGAATCCCATTCTCTCAGTCTAAGTCAAACTTCCTGTTAAATATTCCACAAACACTTTATGGACTCACTGCATCCCAGCTGTGAATAAAGCAATACCCATCTTGGTTTTCATTCCTGTTACCTTGAGAAGGCAGGTAATAGACTAGAAGTCTTTCTGGCAAACATGCCAGAGGGCCCAACTAGCACAGCACAAATACCTTTTGTGAGCACATAGCTTCAAATACAGAAAACAGAAGCAACCCCAAGAATCAGCAATGCCTCTCAGTGGTGTTTCCACCTAAATTTTACCGTAAATTCTATCCTCTCACAGGAGAACTTTCCCAAACCAATATAATTGGAGGACATGGTAAATGGTATTCTCTCTGTGGGGGATCACATTAACAAGATGAAGCTGCATGAAAAAGGTGTAAGCAAGGTGGGGGACATCCATTTATGGCCACTTTTCCATTTCAGTCATGTTTTGAATGGTACTATTTCAGTCATCTGTGAGCTGGGGCTACTATACCTGAAGCCAAGTGGGAATTTCTGCTGTCAGTTCAGGAAAACTCTAATGGCTCCCAGCATCAAATGCTGCCTGCCTCTGCATAATGTAATTACTCCATCACTTTTCACAACAAGGCTTGTGGAAGCATATTCTGAAATGGCACCAACTTTCCATGAATCACCTATATTTCCAATGTTCCTTTTAATAGAAATTTTCTCTCATAGGGGAAAATGTTAGTCCATTAGTCAACATTTTACACAATGTTTAAGAGGCCTTCATTTGTTCACTTACCCTAAATTCAACAGTAATTTGGAATGTCTGGTAGGAATTTTTCAGAGGTTCAAAGGTGATGTATGAGTAGCCAAAGAACTGAGGATACTGAATATTAACATCTAAAAGGCAACAATGACAGCATATTGCTAAGTAGTGAAGCTCCAAATAAATTCAACATTTTTAGCATTAGAGGAGTTTCTGTTTATTTATCAGGACCATTAGCAGCCTGACTCTGTCTTCCCTTTAAATTTTCATAGCTGATTCTCTTGTGCCTAAGCCTGAAGAACCAATCCCAGCTTCCCCAGTTGCACCCCCTGCACATGTCCTATGAGCAGCTAATTTAGTCTGTTACTCATCCTGCTGATGTTTCTAAGCAATCCAGCACTTGCTTTTGTTGTGGGAAAATGAGCAACTCACAAAAATAGCAAGTGCAGAGAGTAGAGATGGGAGAGCAAGGGATACTGAAGCTCACAGAAATTCTGCAAATGGCAAAGGTCAGTTCAACTCACTTTCACTCCAAAGATTAGCTCATTCTAATTTGAAACTTACGTTTGGTTCCTCTGAATGGGAATGAAGCATTTGACTCCATCAGTATAAAAATGTGAAATGTTAAAATTTGTCATTAAATCACACATTTTTAGAATGTGCCCTTTTAAAACTGTGCATGTTTTAAATGTGCATTTAAAAATGTGCATTTCTTAATGTGTACATTGTTTAAAATGTGCACTTCACTCCACTGACTATAGGAAGAAAATGTGAATTTTGAAAAATGAACATTTTGAAGTATGCATTTTAAACTGTTTCAAAAAGTGCACATTCTTTTTAACATTTATCAAATGCAAATGAAAGCTGGAAAATATCTAACTATCTATTTTATATATAGCACCCAATAGTCCCACACAGGACTCCCTGGGCAGTGGGAGTCATAAACATAAACACTTTATGAGAACATAAAATCATAAACATTTTCAGAGAACATGTGTTTGTAGTTGTGAAAGGGACATTTTCAAGTGATTTGCAATCTGAATCAAAATTCTTGTACCTCCCTACTGTAGTGGCATTGAAAAATACATTTTCCCTCTTTGTCTGCTGCTGAAAATAGGTAGGCTGAGGTTCTTATTCATACTAATACTCTGCTCACAGGTAGAGACCCCAGCATGCAATTTCAAATGTCATGCTGGTATTGTCTACCCATGAATAGAGTTGCCTGGAAAGACCCAACCAGCTACCTGAAACTGCAGATGGGGTATTAACTTGCAAAAAATATCCTCATATGACTTTATAAAAAGCTAAGAATAGCTTTGCTGATTCACACCTCCAATGTTTATTAATTTACTGCTTCAACTTTCCAATTCTAAAGAAGCTTTTAAAATAATGGTTATAGTAAGAACTAACAGCAGCAGAAATAAAACTTTTATAAACAATAAAAATATTTAAAGAAGTGGATAAAACAACCTAAAAGCAGCAGACAAAGGTAAAAAGCAGCAGATAAAAACATAAAACAATCTAATCTGTTCAACAATCCAATTTCAAATTCCAGCAGCAGATAAACCGAAGGCTTGCTTAAACCTTAGCACCTTCAGCTGGTGACAAAACATCAGAGGAGAGGAATAAATGAATTTCTTAGGGCAGAGGGCTCTGCATTTGGGGTGCAACAACAAAAGAGGTCCTTCCATATATCCCGACCAACTGCACCACATTATGTGGCCAGATGAACAGAAAGTACTTATCAGTTCACCTCAGTGGTTAGACAGATTTATATCAGAAGGCACAGTATTATTTGGTTTTGCATTCTTTCAGACTAAAACTGCTACTAAGCACTTGGAATTGCACCTGGAAATAGTGCAGAAGCTAGTGAACCTGGTAACACATTCAAGCAAAATCCCCAGTTCTGGTCAAAACTCTTGCCACTGCATTTCACAGCATAAGTTTCTGCAAGGACTTCCAAGCCAGCCTTATCTTACCAAGAGTGCAATTTACATGTGACCAAGTGAGATGGTGGCAATATATGATTTTTCCAGAAGTGGGCACTGCTGGCACTCCAATTATGCTGAGCAAAAATACTCCCAGCCACAGTAACCAGCTGGGAATCCTGAAGCAACATGAAGTCCAGGAACATCTCCTAAGTTGTGAACTTGGTTTTTTTAGAATATGTCTGGAAGCTCATAAACAAATCAGGATAGAAATAACCATTTCCTGTTGTTTGTTTCAGACATCTGGCCATTGTGCTTATATCCCCTCTCAAAAGGTATGCTGCTTATTCAAGCAGGAGGGCTGAAATCTAAACAGTTCCTTCTAGATTTTTGTGAACTTCACCATCAGCCCACAAGCCAAATGCGGTTGTTCCAGCTGTGTGCCTTGTATTTCTGCTAATCTCTGGTAGCACTCTGGTATTAGAGTGACAAACCAAATATATATGGGACGCTATTTTGCAAACTTCTCCCTAAATAAGACACTTGCCAAACACACATAAGGAATGTCAAAGTTTTCAAAGCAAACCAACCTTCTGAACAAGTTTCTCCTCCTTTGCCAAGGTTGCAGTGGCAACGAGAGCCACTCCGCTCATAATCATTGACGCAAAAGCTGTCAGTAGAGCAGATGGTTTCATCGCAGGACTGGTCAGACTGCCGCACCATTGAAGCTCCGCTGTTCCTCCTGGTGGCCTTAGTAGTAATGGGTGTAATTGTGGTGAAACGTGGTGCACGTGTCGTTGTTGTAGGGGAACTAACGGGATATGAAGTGGCTGAAAGCAGCCTAGATAAGAGTCTTGCATTTGACCTTTGTGAAATCTTGGTTTCAACCAAAAATTTCCTATTCCCTCCTTTGATAGCAGGAAGTGGTTTGAGCTGATAGGAGGGAAAAAACACATTTTATACAGCTGGAGGCTAATGCTACAGACTCCAGAGATTTGGTTGCTAGCATTCCACGGCTGATCATACTGATTTGATAGTAGTGTGGCAATTTTCTGGCTAGTCTCTGGGAAGGGAACTTGTAGAGGTACCCATTAAAAGTCGAGAAACAAGGCTTGGTTTTAGCCAGAGAACCCACTAGCAGAAGACCTAGAACATGTTGCAATGTTCTGTCCTACTGAGGGGGAAAATACCTCTTCCAGGCATGTGCATGTGTTTGACTAGCTAGAACAAGTAATTGGCTTGATCAAAGGAATTTAGGCCAGGCACACATGCTTTGCCTACCATCCCTGTTTACAAGTTTTCATGTAGCAGGAGCAGGAAAGATTCCTGCCAAGATCTTGAAAAGAAGTACACATTCAAATATACAATATTGTAATATCACGCCATTTCACCCATGTAAGGCAGCTCCCACTATCTCCTTTATCTCTGTATGTACTGTTGCCCTAGGCACATATCCCATTTTCTGTAGAGATGGGCTTATCGCAGAGTTTTATGAAGTCAAAATAAGAGTCTTTTCATATGGTCACTGAAGGAAAGTACTGTGCCTGCATTCTCTTCTTGACCTCTGTGCTCATGGATAGAACTCAAAGAAAGACATTTCTTCTGAGGACATTTATGTCAGTTTTCTTGCATTGCCCTCTCCACAAGAAAAACAAGGTGCATATTTTTTCCCCTCTCAACACTTTTCACCTTTGTTTTTTGGTCATGGCTATTTCTCCTGACAATGACACAGATGTAAGGTAGGCCTGGGGCTTTATGCTGCAGCAGGGCTAGCCTAAAACATTTTGTTTTCTGAACAAGAACAAGATACCTCCACTCCATATACAGAAGGTAACTGGACTGGCAACTGAAGATTGCATCAGCACTGGTGATACAGCAGAATACTTTATTGTGCAAAAGGCAGCAAGGACACCCTGCACAGGGCAGACTGCATGCCACACACAGTGCTCTTATCCAGCAACCTGTTGTGGTCCTCACACCTTGGCATTTGGGACCTGAAGCCAATGCTTCTCTCTGGTCAATGGTAGGGCTAGTCCTGTGTTACTGCAGAGCCAAAGAAAGCAAGAAAGGGAAATGCTGCATCACAGCAAAAGGTGAGTCTCACCCTCAAGGAACTGGTGGGAGACTTTCTCCATCCCCAGGAGAAATCCAGTGAAATGATCTCTGTTCACAAGTAGGGTAGAGAAACCATTTTCATACAATTGCAGAATACATTCACATGCAGGTTCTGACCACATAGTGTGGAGCTCTGAAAAGGGCAGGCTTCCTGACTACATGAACAGAACCTCTGCTGCAAATGTGTAAGCTTAGTCTTTCAATTCTACACAAATAGTGCTCTCCACCCACACATTCTCTGAATGCAAATATGTTCTTTGAAAAGGCTTCATGTGAACATACACAGAAGAAAAATTTCACTCAAATGCATACGTACAGAGGCTGACTTAATATGTCATCAGAGTGTGCATTAGTTTATATATTTGTACCTTATCTTTGTCAGACCTCCTTGTCTAAATGCTACATCAAAAAAACCTTTAAGGAACTGAAATGCCAGTGGCACCTTTGGATTTACCTCATCAATGTAAATGTCATAGTCTGAATCATCAAAGTCAATTCCATCATCATCACCATTTCCAGAATCTGTGATATACCGATGCCCATAGCTTCCACTGCCTATCTCTTCTGGGCCTGAAAAGACAAAACTGTTATGCTAACCTCCGTACTGTTTTAGTCTGTATTGGCACTATATAATTGCAAGATGGCACCTTGCAGTGCCCCATACGGAGAAGAGTTCTTCTGCATATGCAATAATTAATGTGGAATGAAAACCCCAGCCCCATTACAGCCATGAGACTTGAAAGAGCAAGGGAAAAAATCCCTCTGTCTCTTCACCTATTAGGGTTCTGAATACAGAACAATGTGGCTAAAGTACATTAACGGGCTTCTAATTCCTGTTAAAGTGCTGTCGAATATCAATCCTTTGTGCCTTGCCCCCCCCCCCCCCCCAAATCATGTGATGGGAGAATCCTACAGACAGTCTCAGCTCAGAGAGAAGACTATTTGATTTACCTGCTTACCTCACCCCTGCACCCATTAAGATTAATCCTCCTTGGCTGACTGGCCACAGTGGATTTCCTCCTCAGCTGCTCTCTCCCAGCTCATCTTTCCTCCCTTTGCTTTCTTTCTAACTCCTTATCAGGAGCTGGTAATTATAATTAAGGTGAAGCATAGAGGGAATCTTATGAGGCTTACTTGTTTGTTTTTTAGAAATAGCCTTGAGAACTAGCACATGATTCCCACTTCCTATTACCAAATTTTTTTTAGATATTTTCAATGATTTATTATATTAAAAAAGAAAGAGAGTCTGGGAATTATTCAAGACCATTTGTGGTAAGAATAAGATACTTCTACACAAAGGAAAAGAAACTCTCTTCAATATGTCCATTTGGATATAGTTGCTGCATTAGAAAAAATCCATTTTGCCAAAGAAAATTGTCAATTGCACAAAAGAAGGTCCACAAGTGTTTGTGGACTTCCTCTTGTATTGCTTCAGAAGACCAGGCCAAGCACAAAATAAAATCTGGAAATGCTTGGAGGGACAGATTCTGATAAGGTTCATCCCAGCCTTAGTTACAAAAAGCCAGATTCTACCTGGACATCAGGGAAAACTTCCTGACTATTTGAGCAGAATGACAATGGAAACAAATACCTTAGGGAGGTTGCAGGTTATCCCATATTTGAGATACCCAAAAGTCAGTTACACAGGTACCTGTCAGTGATGCTTTAATTTGGCATTCAGTTTCGCATTAAGCAGGAGGTTGGCCTTGATTGTCTTACTGGCCCTTTCCAATTCTACTACTCTTATGTTTTTATGAAATTCTGTTTTTTTTTTCCTCCTCTCTGAGATTTCATTATTTCAATTTTGCTTTTTCTTGCAATTTAGATACCTTTTAATTTTTCCTGTTTTTTAATGTTGCAATGTGTATATTTTACTTTTCTGTAAGCTGCTTTAGATCTTTTTAAGTGGAACAGTTTAAAACACAAAGACAAAACAATCAGAAGAAAGACAGTAAAGTGCTTTTCAATTTGTTTCAATAATTTGTAAGCTGCAGGTTTAATTGGAACCAAGCATCACAAAGGTTGCTCCTGTGTTACAGTACTAGCCTAAACCATATGGATGAAATGGAATGACCCCTTTAGTGAAAAACAGTTCTACCTGCAGGAAAGCTCTGTTGGTGTAAAGCCACTGCTGGTGAAAACATTGTTGGTAGTAGCTGGACCAGGTTCCAAAATGGAATGTTCTGGGGCAGGGCAGGGATAGTGCAGAGGTAGCATTTGATGCTACTTAGATTGCTCAGTTATTAAGCTGTTATGGTCAGCCATGAGTGGCCTAGCGAGGCCCAGTCAGCCAGACAATATTACTCCATCTTACCCAGGTCCAAGGGAAACCTGGGTAAGCCTCCTTTTTGTAACCAGTTGCAGGTCTTTGCTAAATGAAAGGCCAGGCCATCTGGATGCTGACACTGCAATGCAGATGGCCTGGCTGAGTTGCAGATGGTCTGGCTGAGAGATAACCTGGGTGAGGTCATCTCTGGGCCAAGTGCCTCCAATTAGTAAACCTATTGACTAGTAAACCACTCAGGTGCCTGAAAAATTAGAAACCTTCTAGAATCTATCCTGGAGATGGGAACGAGAAATTACTGGACAATCAGCAGACAAAAAAAAAGTTCTTCCAGAATCATTACCTGAGAGAAGAAAGAGATATAATCCACTAGGAAAGTGAGATAGGGGAGCTTTCTCTTTCTCTTTTAGTACCAATACTAAGAGCAACATTCCCTGGAAGGAGAGGGCTTGATGCAGGTGCCAGAACGGATTGCACAAAAGATTTTTTCTTTGGTAGAGGGGCTAGTGTGTAGGTTGCCCCAAAGGGTACAGTGAGGACGCAGCACCAAGAGAATTTTACCATAGTGACTGTTCTAGCACAGGACTGTTCTAACTATACTGGTTGTCATTTCCTACTAAATTGCCACTTTAAGTAACTTTATTGTCTAGTGCACTAAAGCTGACCAACCTTTTCATTCTGTACTTTTTCCTAAATCCCTAATAAATCTAAGAGGCTCACAAGGAGATATGCCATGTTATTGGCCATGCTAACGATGATTTAACAAACAGTTTGCACACAACAGGCTGAGCAAAACCTTTAACCTAGCTATGCTTCCTAATAGGCTGCAAAGAAACCCAACCTCAGTAGGACCCTGCCCAGTTATGTCAACTGGAATGGGAGTTCTTGGGAGCTAAGGTTTGTTTACTCTTGCTGGTGCCAACTGACTGCTTCACCAGGCCTTGTGCCCATACCCAGGATGGCTGCAAGCACCAGCTCACCACATATATTTAGGATTTTGATCTTAGTTTAGTTGCAAGTTATGCAGGTAAATTTTATGCAAGTGTACTCCTAAATCAATTCTACTGTGTTTAGTGGAGCTTGGTCCTAGATAGATATTGCTTCCTTAGGGCTATTATTTTAAGGTGCAAGCAACTTTTATGCAGAATTGCAAATTGAATTGATTTTTCTTAAGAGAAACTGAGCTAACAACAGCACAGTTATCCCCATGCAACAAACTGATTCCTACTCCCTTTTCCTTCCCATCACACAAAGATGCATCATACTGTTGTTTAGGGATGTGTGAAAAGCTAGCTTCAGTTTGCTTTTGGTCAGTTGGAACTCAGTTTGCACTTTCTGGACTGGACACAGATTCAGATGAAATCTGAAATCAAAATTTATATATTTCTAAACTTGTAATATAACTCTTAGACCAGAACACTGCACTCAACAGCATGTGTACATTTACATATAATATATACCCATTATATAGACATTTTCCACATACCCTGCTACAATTTCTAGTCTTTTTAAAACAAGTATTCAAAACACTGCAGAACCAGTTAAAGAGCAAGACAAAAAACATGCATGTGTATAGAGGCTATGATGGCCTCTATACTTCAAATTTCTGGGGGGAAGGTTCAGCAACACAGAATGCTTCTCTTCATTTTGGTATTCAAACAGGTATACAATACACAAAACTATGATGCAGCTGTTAAGTGCTTCATCCCTGTACCTTCGTTGTGTCCTCACAGTTTGCTGTCTTCACACATTAAGATGAAACTATCAGATACCTTACAGTGTTGTCAGTTCTTCTCATTCTGTCAATTTTTCTGTCTGATCATATCATGTGATGCAACATTGCTATTGCCTTTCCTTGACAGGCAAAAAAGTCTACTTTTCTGGGAATCAGAATGAAATTCTATTTTATGTAACTGATGAAGAGCTCACTAGCCTACAATGGGTAGCTAATCAATTACTGTTAAAACAGTGCTGTTGCTACACATGTCGATTAAGGACATGCTATATTTCATTGCTAGGTCCTTCCACAGTTCCTCAGTGTGCAATGACTTGATACCTCCTTAAGACGCTCCACCAACCTTGTAATCTTGGCCCATAATTAATTGAAAAGTCTGCAAGGGAAACATTAAGAAAAGAAAGCCTCTCTCCAAATAATCAAGGATTAGGTTATATCAAATAAACCCTGAGGAAATCTCTTGGTCCTGCTAATTAGGTGGCAACTGAGTATTGATCAACAGCTTAAAAAGCTATTTTATTACGAGGCCACTGTTGCAAGCTTATGTCACTTACACTTAGAAAATCACTGGGCTCAGTCTATACAATGAAACGTTGCCTAATGGAAAAAAGAAACTAAGAGAAAAGACAAGTCTTTCCACTCCATTTCATGGATAATTTATTGGCCTTGAAAATGGGAAAGGCTAGATGTCTTATTACAGTCGCTTTGTGTAGTAGCAGCAGCAGGTTATCAAGCACTGCTTATTCCATGGAGGCTAAAGCCCTTGAAATAATGTATGCCCTGTTGAAGGCTGATGGACTGAGCTGGACTTTCACAGTGGGCATTCCTGATTCTCCTTATTAGTCCTACTGCTACTGTTTTTACCTGAAAAATGTCCATCATTTAGGGATGTACAACATTTTGAGCTCAATGGATTTCAACATATTCCTGACCACCAGCCAAGGGAGGGCCAAATGGAGATTTTGTTTTCAGCTTCTGGAAAAGTGCTCAAAAATTTTGCACAACTTGGACCCAAGAACTCCATATAACTAGTGCTACTTGCACAACTCAGAGCCATCTGGTTAAATTTGAGCACCTTTTCGTAGCAATGTTGTAACATGCAAAGTATGGAAGCATCCTCTGCTCAGTGCACATGCAAACACAGCACCTTGGCAAGTTAGCATTTTCTGATGTTAATTTCAAATCTGTGAAAAATTCAGGCCTCTGCTTACACTGCACAATCAGTGTAAATTTGCATAAATCACAGTGGTGACCCCAGGTTTGGACAAAGGTTCCTGGATTTTTTTTAAGTACACACATCAGAGCTCTTTAAAAAATGGAAGAATATGTGCTAGCTCAACTCAAGTCAGATCAAATCTGTGCCAGCACAGGGTTGATACAACAGAATCCATGGGACACAGTTGAGGAAGTCCATTATATTTCTAACTCCCCAACTGAATCCCTCACACATTTCTAATGATGCTGGGTGTGATGTGTGAATGGAGCGCTTGTGTATTGAGAAGATATTTGGGCAACTAGAGTGTACAGAGATACACTATATGCACATGGGAAGTCTGGACTGTGAAGGCCAAGCCATCCAAGGTAGCAATGGTCAGCTCTTCTATTCCTTGTAGTCAAATGCCAAGAGCTGTGTGTTACTCTTCCCTCTAAAAGTGAATGGCAGCAATTCCTCTCTATGTAAAGCGATATATATGACGATATCATGGGGTGAAACTTGCTGTAACCCATGATCCCCACTAAGAACCAAGCCTGTTTTTGCACAGATCCAAGTAGCTTCTGTTTCTCTGGCTTTTAAATATAACATCTATATTTAGGTGTTGGTCTAGGTAAAGATATTTAGTATCATACTCTATTACTGGACTCTTGGTTTAGGAAAGAGTCCACCCTACCCAAATTAGCATTGCAAAAAAACTATCTTTGGTTTCAAAAGGATTCAAAATATTTTTGCCTACAAATAAACAGGATGTTGGAAGAGTGTGTTTCTGGCAACAAGATCAGATATCCTTTGGTAAGGATCTCTAGGCTACAAATCCCACAGCGCCTGTTGCACCTTAAGGAGGTTTCCATAAACATTCTGTTCAGAAGTTAAATTTTAAACCTAGGAAATCTCAGTAAGTAAAACAATCTGGAAGACTATGAAATGGGCACAGGTACCCCACTGGGATCAGGTTTTGAGACCAAGGCCAAATGAGATGAAAGAAGCTGGCATGAAAAGAATGACCAGTTTAAAAATAATAGCAAAATGCAGATTTAATACTGCAGTGTTGGAGAGTCAGGCTTTGGCTTTCCTCTATCTTCCTTCCCCTCAAAAGAAAGGGAGGAAAAAGGAAGCAGAAAATCCACCAAAAATTTTTTAATCCACTTATTTATAATCTGCTTATAATCTACATTTATCCTGGAAGTTTTCATTGTTGTCTGAAAAGAGGGAGGAGCTGAATGCCAAAAAGAAAACAGTACATGCTGGATTCCCCAGTCCTCCATACTACAAAGCAGCCATGGGTAGAATTCAGGCTTCTGGGACCTACATTGCATTTTCACTAGAAAAATCCACAAAATGGAGTTAGGTTTGAGAGAGACATACATATTTTTAAGCATGACATAAATAATTCAAGGCTCAGTAATTGGCCATGAATAACAGAACTGAGTGGGGTGCATAAACTTTCCACTCCAGTGCATTCCATGATTTCTTCATTTCAGGAGTACAAGTTGTTTGTTGCTGGTATTATTAAACAATTGGGTGCAGAAATTCCTGCTGATCTTCTGCAATCATGCAGGGATTTACCAGGAGATTCATATCTATTTCCTAGGAATATATGAAGCTGCTTTGCCACAGCTAGAGATGTGCTGAGCCTCTCCAGAATCTGGATCACACACCCATCAGACTTCTTCCAGTGCTTGTCCCTCTCCAAGGAAGCAAACTGTGTGCAGAAGTCGTTGGACATTCATAGGCTGCCGGCTGCACAACCAGAAGCCTTCCCCAATCATCATTCCAAGCAGCCAACCTTCTTCTCTGCTTGCTGTTGCTGCCAGTGGGGGTAAGATGCAATGAAACAGGGCACAGAGACCAGGCATGCTAGCCACCAATCCCAACGACCACCCACTTCCCCACTCAGTGCTGCCAGGGGCTGGCATGGAAGAATGGTGCTGCTTGCATAGCACATGGGGCTTGATTTCTGGTGAGGACCCCACAAATCCTGGGCATGCTCACCAGTAACTCGGACTCTTGCCTGCTGAAAGCAGACTAGTCCCTGGTCCAGAAAGGCAAAACCAGGGAATCCAGCATTTTCCCCCCCAAAGCAGATTCCCCACACATTCCTAGTCACAGCATAGTCTAGCCAATCCAGTAGTAGTAGCAGCAACAGCAGCAGCTGGCAGCAGCTCCCCGTGGTTTCAGGCAAACACATTTTCCAGTCTTTCCTGGAGAACTTGGAATTAATTCAGAATCTTCTGCATGCAAAACAAGTGCTCCATAACCAAGCTAATGCTCTGGCTCTTTATGTGCATCCCTCCTATACCCAATATTCCAGCATTAATATACTGTGTGTTTTCCTACTGCCACCAGTAGAGAGGGGAAGGAGAAAAGGCAGTAGGACACAGGGTATACAAGATGGGTTGTCTATTTTTGACAATGGACGCAACCCATGTGATTATTCAACCTAACTTGGATGGTCTCATAGCAAAGTTTATGGGGGCCTTTCTCTACATTCAGTGCACATCAGGGAATTTCTAGAGTGTTCTGAAAATATTAGAACAGTCACAAGCCAAGTATGAAAGAACTGATACCCCCTCCAAAAGATTCCACTTTCCCTCTGATCAAAAACCAAATGAAACCTGACTCATGCCATTACCCAAGTCAACTTCAAGTCAATGCTTGAAAAATAAGCTCCTCCAACACTCTTTCACAGCATTAGAGATTTACTTTGGTCTTTTTCTGTGGTAGTTTCTAAATTATGCATTTAATATATGGAATTCAATTTTTAAGAACTGCAGGAATAGGTGAACAATAGGCTTGTCAGTGTTACTTCTCTCCAAGACATTGCTTATCAATTTCACATGAAGCTGCCACAAATACATACACATGCACATCAGGTAGCAATGTTGAGATAAAGCACCTGTAGCTGCATGGAAGCAGTAAAAGATTGTTTTTAGCCTGGAGCATTCTTTAATTGCACCCATGACTTGACTTTTATAGAATCCTGAAAGCTGCCAGACCTCAGGTATTCACAGAGTGGGGAAAATAGAGAAAAGGAAGTTGCCATTTTAAAATACAAACAGTGGCCAAAGTGTTTTTCTACCACCTGAATGCCAAGAAATTAAATAAGAGTCTTCTACTCACTGAACATTCTGATAGTGTCACTGGGAGCACTAGGTAGACTGGATCCATATGAATTTGTAGCTCGAACTGCAAACTGGTATTTGTTGCTTGGAGTTAGCCCCTTCAGGACCATGGAGTCCATTTGGATCTGCTCTCTAATAACTGTCCAATTGGTATCAAGGTCAGGCCTGATTAGGATAAACAAGGCAAAGTGTAATTAAAATAGCCAAGTCAATTCACTAAAGATGAAGCCAAGCGTTTGCAAATATTCAAGAGCTGCCAAACTCTTGAAATTTTACAGTGAAATTGAAGCTTGAAAGTTAACAGCTTTGGACATGTTGGCATTTGGAGTGGAGGTCATCAAACATTAAATTTTATAAACTTAAATTTTCATATCATGTACAAAAATCAATCATTGAACAGTGCTTGAAGGAACCAAAGAGAAGCTTCTGCAACCTGCACTAGATTGGCAATGAGCAGAAGAGCACAGGTAGGGGGAAGGTGCTGCCACACTCCCTCTTCTATGTAGAAGTATAGTGTAATTACAGGAAATTTATTTATTTATTTATTTATTTATTTATTTATTTATTTATTTAAAACATTTTTATGGTGCCCCCGTCACAACAAAGTCTCAGGGCGGCTCACAACAAGTACATAATATAATTGTTCTACAAACACACTTTATCCCCTAGGGAGGGGAGAATGAGGGATGCTCATGTTTGGTAAAATACTTGAAGCTTGGCTTGGCTTGGCTTGGCTTGCTCCCATTTGAGACCTGTCTTTCAGTTCCTTTAATCAGGAAAAGTGTGCATTTTGAACAGGAAAATTATGCATCTCTGTGTGCACTTTTCAAACCTACACACTTTCCTTGTTGCACAATATATGAAAACACATACTGTTTTTTAAAAATGCATATTTCAAAAGCTACAGATTTTTCAAATGCAATTACGTCAGAAAAGTGTGAACATTTTTTAAAAATCTATTCGCCTTCACATCCAGTATTGTCAATGGATGCTTTGTGAACTACAGCAAAATCACTGCACACCCCTAACATTCCTGCAAGCAGAATTTAGAGTGAGACTTAATAGTACTGGCACCTCCCAGAACTTCAGTGGTCCTTGTGATTTTGTCAGGAGCAGGATCTACAGAAATTCCTACTACAGTGCATAAGCCTGAACAACTGGGGGAAAGGACCTGTCCCACACCTTGTCTATTACTTTGCGACAGAACAATTCATATCTATAACAAATAAGTAATATGGTGTCTCTGCAAGCTGAACTGTCTATGCAGAGGAGACAAGGAGAAAGAGACAATAAAAATGGAATGATGGACACAAAAACTTTGAAAAGCCCAATGGAAAAGGGAAAACCCCAGCTTGCTCTCTTGGTAGGGTGGCCATGTGTCCTACTTTAAGTCTTGTATTTGAAGGGCAGTCAGAGAACAGTCCTGTCTCTGAAGGCATCCTCTATTGGAATAGCCATCCAGTCCATGTCCATGTCATGATTCATAAGGGGATCAGGGGCCTTTCATTTATTTCTATACTCCCAATAACTGAAGTTCTCTAGGCCAGTGAGCACCAGAATAGCAGCCTCAGCAAGCACACAGGTTTGCTCACCTGATCACAATCCTCCTTGCTACAGTAAGAAGTTATGCATTTTTATTTCTACCTTTTAACATGGTTTTAATAATTAAAATGTTTAAAAGCTACCATCCATCCTTGAGTAGCTGATCAATAAAGTAACATGCCATACAATAAAACTCAAATAATTCAAGGTACTATAAAACACTTGAAACCACATAATTAGGATAATTTGCATTTTCATATAAAAATCAGCCCACACACATCTGTGCCCTGTTAAGGATGTGTTTGGATGGGTAAGCAGCCACCCAAACTCCAGGTCAAACTTGTGCCAAGACATTACTGCACACCCAGTACCAGGGCCACTCTGTTTGTTCCAAGGAAAGACCTTGCACCTGGCCACCCACTTTTTCCTACTAAGAACAAGAAGCAAAATTATGATGTAAAATTCGTAGAAAAAGCAGCTGCTGGATTTTCATGGGATATGCAAAAGGCTTGACACAAGATCCATGCAATGCTGAGCATTGCAGAGGCAGCCCAGCAGCAGAGGACTGTACCATATCCTTGGGGGCAGTTCCCCAGGCTAATGTATCTGTGTTGGGTAAAGAGGACTGCATCCCATACCAATTCACTAATGTCTTTCATATAAAAGGCTCTCAAATAGCAGGACTGGAGTGATTTTTAAAGATAAGAGCAAGCTGCTATTCTTTTTTCATGGATGTCCTTGTAATATTTACAGCAGGAAATAACCTTTAGTCCTGAAATCTACTATTGTTTATCGAGCTAGTTATGAACAACCCTTGGGATATTTTAATGAAAATTATAGCACAAGGCAGGAATTTTGTGTAGTTCATATTTATTTGTAGCCCAAAGTTACTGCTAAAATTGACACACATGACTTTTTATATTGGTCAATCTATTAACGACGGGAATGTTTAGGAGTAGTTTCCATTAAACAAGAAGGGCAGATTCAAAGATAAACTCAGCACAGTTTGGAACAGCTCATTCTAAACTATTTGAGTTGGTCAGTACTTTGGGAATTGGAGAACCAAACTATCTAGTCACAGCAGACAAAACAATTAAAAAAACAAACCAAAGTCTCCCCCCATATAAGAGCCCAAGGAAGAATGACTCAGCCCTAAAATATTATCTTGTCTTAAATCCCAGGGCATGTGGTAGGAGGAAAATTTCTCTCATTCTCTTCCCTTTGCTAAGAAGAAAGGGGCAGCCTATAATCTGCACCTATTGACCATTCAGCTTTATTTTTGATCCAAACTGAGGCCTCCACTGTTTCTCTTAATTAAAAGCATCTGTTCCCCTCTTTGCCTAATAGCAGCCTTAGCTTTTATAGGCAAACACTTTTTTCCATTGCTTAAAAAGTCTGCTTATTAAAGTGGTATTGTACATGCAACAGACACCACATTAGTACAGGGCAAGATTCAGGTATTTGAAGGCAGTATCATTTTAAGATGCTCCTTTGATGCACTAGCAAAGTGTGTCAATTTTCTAAAAAGAGCAGCTGCCTTAAACATCTCTGCTTATTTTAATTATCTTTCAAGGATTTCCTTAGAAAGAATTCTCTAAATGTTAATATTAGGGGTTCAGACAACTAGATTCTGCACTCTATGCTGGTGTTCTCCTTTTTTCATACTAGGCCCTGCTGGATGCACAGTGATATCACCAACCTCTTCTGGTGAGTAGGCCTTGATTATTCTGAAAATAATCATTCTAAAAACTGGATTCGACAGAAATCTTCTCTCCCGCCCTCAGCAAATTCAGTGTTTGGCCTATCCATAGCAGCAACATAAACACCCACTAAATACATGCAGAGAGTCCAGCAAGCAGCCCATTCAATGTCTTTAAGATCAAAAGTCTATAATATAATGCCTTACGATGCCCCAGTGAGTGGAGCATCCAGAAGACCAATTTCTGCCTTGAAATGGCTTTGATAGAAATTCCATAACAGTCCTGAAAAGCATCAGGCACAAATATATTAGCAACTACGTACCAAACACCTGCAGGTGTATCTGGGAGGAGAATTCTATCATAAAAGTGCAACTTCTACCATCTGTTTTATCCCTTTACACCCATTCTTCTTGATTAATGTTCAACTGAATTTGGAAAGATTTTTCCCTGCTGCAAGAGAGTGCAATGTTACAGGGCTTATTTTTTTTAAATGAAGGGAATTAATTTCCAAGAAAAACATCTGCTAGCAATCCAAAATGTGTAATGGTCTTCTCAAGCCCAAACTTAGCTGAACCGACAAGCACAGCTCTGAGGTCGTGTGGTGGCAAAGGGGGAGCATACTTCTGTAAATGACAGTGATTAGCCAAATGTTAATAACAGTAAATTCATACAAATTAGGAATATTCTGTTGTGTGAAATTCACAGACAGTTGATAGGACAGTAAGCCTATAGTCTCCACACACAGGTGAGCTAGATGAAAATTGTACTAATATGTAGTACAATATGTATTCACCATTATGTAGCTTCCTGTTGGTTACTCTATATATATATATATATATATCATAAGGATTTTAAATGGCTATTTATTGGATGTATATACTCATCTGTATCTAACAAGAGTTCTGAGAGGTGAATCATAAAAGAATCAAAATACAGAATTATGCAAATAAAATAGAAAATATAGATTATGTCAACAAAACCATGACTGGCCAATCAGGAAAGGTTTGCTTAATTTTAAATGCAACTGTTGAAAACAAAACAATAATGCCTGTGCTTGACTGAGAACAACAGGCAGCAAGTTGCACAAATTGGTTACATACATGGACTCTACTTGGAGTGAACTCTTAAATAGGCCAGAGCTTCTCGCAGAACCACTGGGATTTCTTCATCAGTGATCAGGTAGAGTCTCTCGGGTATCCTGGTCCCGAATTGTTTAGGTCTTGATAAACCAGTAAACAAAGCATTGCCAATCAGGGAAGTTCCCTCAACAAAAGAATTAATATAATGAAATGGGCTGACTCCTAAGAATAGCCAAGCTCCTATATTCTGCACTAGCTGTGGTGTCCAGAGCAATCCTGCAGGCAGTTCCACACAAAGTACATTGCAGGAATTCAGCCATGAGGTGACTAGCACTGGACCACTGTGGCCAACCTATCCAAAGCCAGTAACAGGCTCTTCAAGGTGTTACAGGCCTTACATAGGCACATTTCATTTCTTATCTCATTTGTTTCACAACAACTTGAAAGGAAATTTATTCCCATTTCCCAATAAAGAACTGGTATCAATAGAGAGAAATCCATGGTTCAATGGGACTTCAGCCTAGACTTCCCAAGTTTAACCCATATATCTGGGCTTGTGAGTGCCAGGTGCAAAAGGGGACAGACTCCTGAACTTTTAACAGTTTGGCAGAAGAAAGAATGGTTGCAGGTATAATTTCTTATGTAAACTACACCCACTGAAATTCCCTTTTCTGTACAACTATTAATTTGGGTGGCCCCATCTATAGTGGCTGAAACTGGCCTTCATTTCTAGGCCACTGATAAATTACCAAAATAAAGCAAACATGTCACCAAACAAGACAACAGAAGTGAAAAATGATTTCCATAAAGTTTGCATAGAGTGATTTCTATATATAGATGCAAA